ATTGTCCTTCACGAGAGAGATTGGCGAGAAGACTCTCCTCGCTTGAGCGGTTGAAGTGAAGACGCGGAATCCAAGCAGGTTGCCGAAAGGTCGGATATGCATGGTCTCAGCCCCTGGACGATAATGCATCTCTTAGATCTCCGGCTGCGACGCTGGACAGACAAGCATGGTGATATGGCGGAAGCATTGTGATTTGGTCATGGCCGTCCGGGTCGATGCGTGGTGGCGCTCAATACCAAGCCAGAGGAAGAACATCCGGTGCAGAAAGTGCCTCCTTCCTGAGCTGAGCTGAGGCGGTGGCCAGAGCTTCTCCCATGTGGACCCCCCTTGCCCCTAAGCGAGTCTTGGCTTCGGCTGCCGAGCTCTGGGATTGGCCGAGCGATTGGAGCTGTCCGCCATTGGTTCGTTTGTGCCCGCTAGGATGCAAGTGCGGGGCCCAGAGTGGAGACGCTCGACCCGACTGAGTGGATTCGTTCGCTCGCTTGAGGATGGAACGATTCCATTGCATTGCATCCAGGAAGCAGCAGCAAACGGACATGCACCTTCTTCATAGATACTTACTGGGTAAAGGCACATTAAAATGGAAGCAACAAACTCATCTGACCTGCTCCGGATGCGAGCGAGTGCGGCAGCTCCCAACGCTGCATCGGCCTTACCCGGCGATGTGAAGGTGAAGGATACCTGGTTTGACACGGCTTACCTGTCAAGATGATTTTTCGTCTGGTTTCTTGGCAGTTGGGTGACTTTTTCTCCCAATGGTTCATCGCATGTTTCTCATGGGCACGTCGATGACGAGTCCATGGCTTGCGGCGGAACCCTCGGCGCCGTCACCGTCACCGCATCCCGTTTGAACCGCCCGCCCTTATGATGACGGTTTGACGTCCAACGATACTGGCCCCCATCCTGACTGACACATGCCATTCCTTCTACTTTACCCAACCGAATAAATGTCCATTTATTAGACAGTTATCGTCTCGCACCCGCAATAGCGCCATCACCACTCCCGCCGCTTGTACCACCATCACACACGCTCTCACACACACTCATGTACACCCACCACCCGCCAAATCACGCGCACACCCAATCACTCCAACCGCTTCTCATTCTGATGGGTTGCAGCATCGACCGTGGCCTCGTCCAGAAGCTGTCCTGATTCGGTAATAGACCCGCATGATAGACGCTTCTCGTCTCCGCGGTACACGGACTTGGCATCTTTCTCGTCCGTAGCTACGGCCGTACCATCCCGGACGCATCGAAAAACGGCGCACATCCACCACCACCTTGCTTTTTCCCGGTCGTTTCGTTTGATCGGATCTGAGATTCTTGGTTTCTTCGTCTCGCACTCACCACTGCTTGCTCGCCCATCCGACCGGCAGTTCGGTTCAAACTGCTTCTCGGTTTTCCCCCGGCCCACAACCAATCCAACCGCCCATCCATCTGCCTCCCACCCTCCCCATCCCCGGTCACATCGATCAAAGCGACTGAGCCGAACCTGCTGCTACGTCCGTATTCCGACGGTGTAAGATATCCATCCACCTTCAACCCACAGATATCGATTGCGCCTCGGCGCGCTCTCGTCTCCTGCGACGATAGCTTCTCGCACTCGCTCCGGGCTAGTGTGTTAGTTGCATGGCTATCCCAGAGACATACACGTACACTCACTCTCTCTCCCATCAGCTGTGACTCGCTTAGATCTAGCAATACCGTTTTCTGGTAAGCGCATCCATTGTCATCAGGAACAAAAAACCCAACAATCCTTTGTGCGCTTGTACTTAAGGATCCCGTCTTCCACGTCCTTCCCTTTTCCTTCCATTCCAAGCCTCGACCGAGCTCCCGGATTCACCTCAACACCATCACTTCTCAAGTCTCGGGATCCAAGCCGCTAGTGGTTTCCGATCATCTACGACTTGTTTCTTTTCCCCCCTTCGTCGAAGCTGGTTGCTTTTACGTGTGTTTCGTTTGCTGCACGCAGTGACCTCTTCAGCACGCTCACCCCACATCTCACTCACATCCTCTCACACGACAATCGACTTCACCCGGAGAACCTTTTCTCATCACACATCCCACCACACTCAGCTTACATCAATACCCTAAGCCTAGTAGATCACCCCAAGCTCAGTCCAAATGAGGATCCGTTCACCCCGCTCAAGTCTTGTCAGAGTAAGGCGACTGTTTTCCTTGCCAATCAAAGAACCCTAGTCGATTTTTACATGTGAACATCTCAATTTGCCCTCATCAACACCTCGCTCACAAAACAATCTCCAGGATTCGACTTTCTCTGAGCCACAAGACTCCTCATCTCAGAAAACCAACCCCAAGATGGCCGCGACCTTTACCAGACTGCCGGCGATAACATCACTTCGCACCGCCAAGGACGAGGAAACGGATCTCCAAACGTTCCGCGACAACCGGACCAAAGGCGCATACGATGAATGGCCTAACGAAGCCGGTGTAAGAACAACTCGCAACCCCTGACCCTAGATGTCTCCGTCTGACCGAATCCAGTTTGACGGCCTGACCGAAGAGCGCGGCCCTATCGAGCTCAGCATCCAAGGCGAGATTCCCGCATGGGCAGCTGGCGCCCTCTACCGCACGGGACCAGGTAGCTGCAAGATCGAGGACACGCCCAAGGGGACGTACTACATCTCCCACTGGTTCGACGGCCTCGCGCACACGCACAAGTTCGACATCGTTCCCCGAGAAGACGACGACAGCCGACAGGGCAGCGGCCCGACTCGCGTGATGTACTCCTCGAGACGGCAGTGCGACCAGCTGGTCCAAGATATCCAGGCGTTGGGCCCCCAGAACCGCTTCACCTTTGGCCAGCGCCGCGACCCCTGCGTGGGCATGTTTGGCAAGATCATGAGTGTCTTTTCCCGGGGCACCGCGCCCAACATTTGCGTCGCCGTCAACGCAAACGTCCCCGGCCTGACCCCCACCGTCCCCGGAGCCACCGATCAGGGCCCCGCCGGCCCGGGACATCGCAACGGCGTTCGCAGCATCTGGCTTTCCACCGACGCGAACCCCCTCCTTGAGATCGACGCAGACACCCTGGACCCTGTGGGCACCGCACGGCAAACCAAGCTTCACCCGGACTTGACGGGCCCCATGTCCTGCGCCCACGCCCAACGAGACCCCGAGACGGGCGACATGTTCAATTTCAACCTCGCCTTCGGCAGGCTGGCCACGTACCGCATCTTCCGTGTCAGCGCCGCGACCGGCAAGACAGAAATCCTAGCTTCGATTTCCGAGGCCGAGGGGAAGCCCGCCTACATCCACAGCTTCTTCCTCTCCAAGAGCTTCGTCGTGCTCTGCATTCCCGTGACGCATCTCGGCTACAACGGCCTCAAGGTCCCCTGGGAGCGCAACATCCTCGACTCCATCGAGCCGTTCGACGCCAGCAAGCGGTGCCGGTGGTACTTTGTCGACCGCCTCAACAACAAGGGCGTTGTAGCCACCTTCGAGACACCGGCCGGTTTCTTCTTCCACTCCACCAACGCTTTTGAGGAAGCCGCAGAGGACGGATCAGGGGTCGACGTGTTTTGCGAAGCGGCCTACTACCAGAACCTCAACATCCTCCAGAACCTGTACTACGACGTCCTCCTCAATAGGAACGACGCCGCCAACAAGTTCTGGACGGCAGGTGACCGGATGCAGAACGGATACGCGAGTCTCCGGCGGTACAGATTCAGGATACCAAACGACACCGATACCAAGACGGCCACACTGCCAACGGAGCCCGAACTCGTGCTGTCCGTCCCCGCCCCGCACGCCGGCGAGCTGCCGACAATCAACCCGGCCTACCTCACCCGCCGTCACCGCTACGTCTACAGCCTCTCGGACCGCGGCCTCAGCACCCTCCTCGACACCATCGTCAAGACGGACGCCGACACGCGCGAGGCGCTCATGTGGGAGTGCCCGCACGCCCACACGCCTGGCGAGCCCATCTTCGTGCCTAGGCCTTCGAGCAACGGCGAGGCTCCGGCCGAGGACGACGGCGTCATTCTCAGTGTCGTGTTGGACGGCACGACGCAAACGAGCTACCTCCTCTGCCTGGATGCTACAACGATGACGGAGCTCGGCCGGGCCGAGTGCGACTTTGCCGTGGGCCTGGGCTTCCATGGCATCCATGCGCCTTCGGCCTCGGCTATGAACTGAATGTGGATGGAAATCGACGTTTGGGCATGTGATTTGGATCAATTGTGGTGTTGGACCTTTAACGACGGTGATGTCTTATTATGTTATGATACCTTGATGATGATGAACGATAGACCGTCTTCATGATGAGGGCGTTGGGTATGACGAGAAGTTTGCTCCCACGATCCCTGGTTTTCTTAGGAGGCGGCGATTAATTAGGTAGAGACATCCGTTAATACTACTATCCTCCGAATTTGAGAATGATGCCTCGTCATGTTGGAGTAGCAGTGTATGGGCAACGCTCACTGGCACTGGAACGGGTTGCAATGAATCTACTACTTCACGGTAACAGATCTGACATTGGCCAAAACTTAACCCAAACTCGAGTTATCTCCAGTTTGGACCTCTGTCCGGCTTGTGCATTCTTGTAATAATGGAGACTGGCATCCCGCTGAGTGTGGGCTCATTCCTTCAATGCCCCTATCACTGACGACGTACTCGTCCTCGCAGTTTCCTTGTTGCGCTCATTCATTTTCACCAGATATCAGCTGCGAACAAGTCAAAGACTTTAGGATGTGACTAGAATTATATTTAGAGTATGCATCGTGTTTCAATGCGGGTTGCTAGCTGTAAGTATATGCTCATGGTTCTTCTGTTGGATTCATGCATCTTGGTGCCCTGAATAGAAAGAATATGATGCAGGCGGGGGCGACAAAGGAAATATGTAGACTAGGGGCGAAATGAATGCAAACTTGTCTAAGCAGTAGGGTATCTCCAGCTCCTATCCTCGAATATGTCCAGTAACGCCGAATGCAAAACAAAGGAACCAAAATGCTTCATGCAGGCAATCCGAGACTCGCAAATCACTCTTCAAGCCCCTCTCGCAGCGCGTCGATATCAACAAGATCAGGAGACACCTTGCTTGGGGGTCCGCGGCGCTGGTGAGCCGCCAAGTACTCCTGAAACCCAGGTATCGCCCCGGGCTGGTTGATGCCTGGTGCACGGCGAAGGTCCCTCTCTCTCTCTTTCTCCTTGCCACTCCGTTTAGGCGGCGTAGGCGTGGGCGGGGTGGTTGTTGGAGTGGTTGCCCGGGGGGGAACGGAACCTCCGCCGCTCCACGGCCGCCAGCTGACCCATCTCCCGAGACCGCTTGAGTACTGAGAGTGCTGCGATCCGGGGCTAGATGGCGATGTGCCACGTACGGGCGTGGACGCCATTCTCGGCATGGGCAACCCTGCGAGGCTGTCGCGCAACATAACGTCACTTCGTTTGTCGCTTCCGCGGGAGATGGTAGACCGCGCGGTAACGCCAGTGAAGACGGCGTCTGCCCCGCCCAAAGGCCGCAGGGTCATTTGACTCGGTCGTACCTTCAGCGTGTGAATGTCGAGTCCTCCAGACAGAGACATGATCGACTCATGAGAGACTGCACGATGCAGACGCTGACGGGGTAGCTCCTCGTATTTCGAGAACGACCTTTCCGTCTCCGTCTCCATCGTCTCCGTGTCAGTCTCCGTGACCTCTTCACTAGCTGAAGTGAGATCCGGAAGCTCCTCTGTGCCGTTCTCTTCTCTTTCCTCCTCGATCGTCGTCGAGATGTGTTGCGTGACGTGAAGCGCAGGTGCCGCAGGTGCAGCAGGGGATGCCACGCTTAAAAGCCTACTAGGCACGGAGAAGCTTCGCATGGACGCTTCCGATGGGCGCTTGTTGTGAGATGACTTCCATGTTGGTGAGGTCGGGTCCAGACTTGTGGTTGGAGACGTGGGGATATCCATATCCAGGATTGGCCTGTCAAACATGGACAGTCGCGGATTTGACTGCGGGGAGCTTGGGACGGATGAAGGTGCGAACTCTGACGGTTGCTCCGAGAAAACGGACCATCTGTTAGATGGCCCCATGGAGACTGTCGAGGTGGAGGCCTTGTGAGAGTGGGAGGCCATGGCCGGTGTTGATGGTGGAGGGCGCCACGCCGGAGGAGGCGTAGAGGATCTTGAAACGCTCGTAGGCGAAAAGAGTCCTGGGTTCAAGCTATGACGCTTCTTCTTCGACTTGTTCTTTTCGGCCACGTGGTAGTGGTGATGAATATGCAACTCCTGGGAGATATTTTGAGTCACCTCGGCTGGTTCCAGGGGAAGCTCTGCACGCAAAGTAGACACGGCGCTTGTGTCGTCCTCGTGAATAGGCTGGTGGCACATCAACTGGTCCCGCAAAGCCTGGATTTCGTCGTTGGAGTTGACCAGCATTTCCCGCAGTTCCGCCATGCCCAACTGCAGGTTTGCATTATCCTGAAGCAGATCACGCACGAAATGGGACACCACATTTGTGCCACTTTTCCCGGTGTTGAGTGACTTGGCTGCGGCGGCTCCCTTAAGACGTCCAGCAGCGGCATTCAGCTCCTTTTCCATCTCTCGTTGACGCTCCATGCGGCCCAGAACCTCCGTGTGGCGTTCTCGTTCCTCCTTGGCTTCCTGTTCCATGCGCTCCAGCTGCTCTTGAAGATCGGAGATTCCCCTCTCGGCTTTCCTCCACCGCTGCATGGCAGAGCGGGCTTCAGATTCGGAGGTGATGAGGGTGTTTTGCAGACGCAGCTGTTCCTGCTCGAGGAGGGCGATATGCCGTTCCATCTCAGCAGCACGGGCTGCTGCGCCCTCAAGGCGACGGACGGCCTGGTGGGAAGACAGCAGGGTGGCCTCCAGGGTCTGGATCCGGATGTCGGAATCTTGGACGGTGTTGTTCAGCATCTCGAGCTGGTCGAGCAAGGTTCGGTTCTCCTCAACGGTCCTCGTGTTCTCGGCCTGTAGCTCCAGCTTGTCGTTCTCCAACTGTTCGATTCGGCTTGTTAATGACAGGCGGTCTCGTTCCGCATCGGCCATGTATGCCTCGTGGCGGGCAAGCAGGGCCTGAAGGGAAAAGGTCAGCGACATGTCGACATGAGCGGTGGTTCCGAAAAAATGCAATTGACAATGTCAAGCGCGGAGCTGGAGAGCAAAGTTTGCGGACTGAAACGAGCACAGGGCCCCATCTTCTTGATATGAATCACAGGAAATGAGGTCTTGGAATGCATCGAGATAGGACACGGGACGAACAGAGCTGGAGCAGAGGCTGGAATGTTCTTGACTTTGACTTGGGCGGGGGAGAAAAAAGAAGCGTGAGGGAATAGGGCAGAGACAACGCACCTTGCCCAGCTTGGCGGCGGTATGGACATCTTTTTCGACGGTTTCCAGGAGGGTGCAGCTGTGCTTGAGAAAGGCGCAATCGTTGCGGCCGCAGCAGCAGCGAAGCTTTGGGCCATCGTCGGGGCGAGCCGTGGAAGTTGGGACGAAGTCTGCCATGGCGTCGGCGTCGCGAGATGGGGCGTCATCGGTGGACTCTGCCATTGTTATCGCGGCAGAGAAGACGTCTCTACGGCGGGCAGCATGCTGAGCTGAGACGAGGGCAGCACGGACGCGGGCACTTTGAACCGTGGACGGGGTGCTGCCGATGGGGATCACGAGCAGGTGGGGGTTGAATAAACGAGGGTTTTCGGTACCGCAGCCGTAGCGACTCGGGCTGGGGTCGACGAGATGAGTCGGTGATGAGAGTGAGACCCGGGGGGGTTGTGCGCGAGAGCGGGAGGAATGATTTTATGTCGAATTGTGGTTGTTGTGTGTGTGCGTGTTCATGTAGGTGTGCAGTATCCGTAGCTTGGGCGTACTTGTATTGGGTCTACGCGATTGGGAGAGAAGAGACGAGGCGGCGCGGTGAGCACCCAATGTAAGTGCCAAGGCCTGGTGAGTAGGAGTATCCGCCGCTGTGCGTGTTATCGCGAAGTGGGCGTGACTGGGAGGCCCTCTGTGTGCGGTTGTGTCTTTGGCGGGCGATTGTGCCTTTACTGGAGCAGTGTGGCTCTCGATGGTCTGCTAGGCGCGGTATGGACAGGGGATGACCCAGGCCGGCGGGGGTCGACTGCAGTTTCTTTTGAGAGCATGTGGTCCGAGCCGAAATGAGTCTCATCAAATAAGAGAGAGGCAGCGCGAGAAAAGAAAAAGATTTCAACGGCAGAGGCTGCGAGGTCGGATCCGATAACGAAGCGGGGTGTCTGCTGGGTAGTGTGTGTTGTATTGTCGTAGGTATGTATCCGTATCCGTACCTTAGGCGAGGTAATGATGCTGAAGAAACGAGATACAAAGGCGGCAGTGAGGTATCGAGCAGGTGTTCGTCCGACCCAGCAGACGGTGGAAGGGGTCCCGGTCAGGAACCCGACAGGAACAGGAACAGGAACAGGCTGAAGTCCTGAACAGGAACAGACCTAGGATGCGATGGTGAGATTGAGAAACTGGGAAAGGGCAAAGGCGCGCAGGGGCCCCGCAGGAGTCAGTCAGGACGTATAGACGGGATGGAATGGAAGACGGGAATGAGGAGCCTAAGAGAGACGAGATGGAAGACGGGAGACCTAAGAAAAAAAAGAAGCTGGAAATAGCTGAGACGGGACGGCGCAGCGCAGTGCAGCAGCCCAGCCCAGCAGCGCGCCCAGCAGCGCACATGGCGCCCTCCAGAGAAGGAAAGAAACGTTCGCGTCAAGCCAAACACAGGCAGGCTCGCTCTTCCCACGCTGATCCAAACCGGCATGGCGTCTTTTGGTGTCTCCACTTGGCGTTCTTGCGGCGTACCCACGTACCCAAGGTCTCCACCAATCCAGGAACACCACACATCAGAGTTGTCATCCCGCCCACGTCCCCCAGGAACAAGTCAACGAGCCCCACCTCCAGTGCCCGCTCTGCCGCTTTCACAAGTCACTGCTGTCTCGCTCAGAAGTGAGGTGTTGTCTTCAATGTAAGGTACCTACCTACCTCACTGAGAAAAAGTACATGAGATAAGGCACCATCGGCACATGGGTAAGTGCAGAAAACAAAGTGCCACCCCACGAGGCCAGCCAGCCATTGCCAACGAATGAGACTCATCATGTCTGCCAAAATGACGACAGACTACCTTGCCTTCCCTCAGGTTCGTCAGTGGTGTCTTGTGACAGGAACTGGCAGCCACTCATCTCGTGGCCGCATGGCGACGGCCACCTCATCTTCACACCACCACCAGCCACCTTACTTCCTGTCAGTCGCTCCAGACTAACAACATCTCGACTCAACGAACAACTGAAAACTCAATGACCATGACGCCAATTCGCAGATAACGATGGCCGTGACCGCCATCACTCTACAAGGTTCATCGCGCTAGCCCACGCCCTTCTGACAGGAGTTCTGAATCGGCGCACATTGACTCAGATCGGGCTATCCCCGCGACCAAGTTTTTCTATCCCATTCCCGAGTCAAAAGCTTACTGCACGCGACCGCGACTGCTCAAAACAATGGCGCGTAAAACATTCGCCGTCATCTACCGAAGAGGAACTCGTTCGTGTAAAGGAATCTTGTCGCGATTCCACCGTTGTGTGATTTCCGACGTGACTGGCCTCCAGCTATCATCCCTCTCGGTAAGGCTTTTACCACAAACCTGCCAATAGGACCCGTCAGTGATAGAACAACAACACCTGGCCGCATCGGCCGATTCGACTATGCTGAAGCTGATGCTCGGCAAGAAGATGATGGAATCAGTCGGCGGCGGCCCCTCACCTTCGACACCCGCGGCGACGGGTTGGTTGCAACCGGCCCGGCGACACGCATCGCTACCTTAGGTTTAGTGGGCCGACCCGCTGCATCTCGGTGTGCATCCACTGTGAATTCGGTGCCTTACAGCACTTGCCCGCCCTCTGTGAGGTACACCGCTGTGGATCTCGGCCGAGCCACATTTCACAGAGTGAGATCGTCTCAATGACAACCCCGACGTCAAGCCTCTGACCTCCGTCAACCGGGTCCGAACACGGTTGCCTCAAACCCGTCACTCAACATCATTTCTTCCGCCCTTCCGGCCTCACCTCACAGACACCACATACCTGCGGATTCGGACCAATCCACCGCTGGGTGCGCAATGTCGTCCTCAGAGAAGAAGCCGCCGGCATCTGCAGATGCCAGCAAGACCGTCGTCCGCGGCGCCTCCCTCCTCATCATCCTTCAGATCGGCTCCCGCGCAGTCACCTTCATCGCCAACCAGCTGCTCCTCCGCTTCCTGACCGCCCAGCTCCTCGGCGTCTCGACACAGCTCGAGGTCTACTACCTCTCCGTCCTCTTCTTCGCCCGTGAGAGTCTGCGTGTCGCCGTCCAACGTCAGGAAACCCGCCCCGGCTCCAGCAAGCGCGATGACGACCCGAAAGCCCGCGTCGGCCGTGAGAGCCAGGCCGTCATCAACCTCGGCTACCTCGCCGTCCTGCTGGGCTGTCTCGTCACTATCGGTCTCGGATGGCTCTACCTCTCGTCCGCCGATGAGCTGACCCGCAACACCCCAAACTTCCTGCTCGCCCTCCGCCTCTACGCCGTCGCCGCCGTGCTCGAGCTCCTTTCCGAGCCCTGCTTCGTTCTCATGCAGACAAGACTGCAGTTCGGCACACGCGCCACCGCAGAGTCCATCGCAACCTTCCTGCGGTGCATCGTCACCTTTGGCACCGCCGCCTGGGCAACACGAGCCGGCATCGAGTTTGGCGTTCTCCCTTTCGCCGCCGGACAGCTGTCCTACGGCGCCAGTCTCCTGCTCGTCTACCTCTGGTCCGGCGCTCGTCTATCAAGCACAGACGGATTCTCCCTTCTTCCAAAGAGCCTGGGCCCCAGTCAAGAATACGTCGCCTCGTACTTCTACCGGCCAACCGTCAGCCTGGCGTCCAGCATGATGGCCCAGAGCATCGTCAAGCACGTCCTCACCCAGGGCGACACTTTCCTGGTTTCCATCCTCTCCTCCCCCAAGTCACAAGGCGTGTATGCCCTGGCCAACAATTACGGAGGCCTGCTCGCCCGCCTCGTCTTTCAGCCAATCGAAGAGAGCAGCCGCAGCTACTTTAGCCGCCTCCTTTTGTCGCAAGACACAAAGACCAGCAAGCCCTCCAAGGAGACCGCAAACACAGCCAGCCAACATCTCCACACACTGCTCAGATTCTACGTCCTTCTCTCTGCTGTCATTGTGAGCATTGGTCCCGTAGCTGCCCCGCCAATGCTGTCCCTCGTCGCTGGCAAGCGCTGGGCCAACGAGGGCGCTGGGGACGTGCTGGCAGTATACTGCTACTACATCCCTCTGCTTGCCATCAACGGTGTTGCCGAAGCATTCGTGGCATCGGTGGCAACAGAGGCACAGGTGCACCAGCAATCGGTTTGGATGGGCGCCTTTTCCGTGGCCTTTGGCTCCGCAGCCTTCGTCTTCATGCGCGTCATGGACCTCGGTGCTTCAGGTCTCGTCTTTGCCAACTGCATCAACATGCTTTGTCGCATCGTTTGGAGCATCGCATTCATCAAATCGTACTTTAGAGGTCTTGAAACACCATTCGAACTTTTTACATTGCAGCCAAACGCCGTCACCTCTATCGTCTGTCTATCTGCGCCGCACCTCATCCGAAAGGTGGCCGGCGTCGTTTCCTCGGGGGCCTCCACGTCGTTCAAGCACCTGGTCGCCATTGGCGTGGCCTCTGTCCCCGTCGTCCTTTTGATGTAAGTTGCCATCATCTACCCTGGCTTTTGACTCTGGTATTCTAACACCCATCTAGCCTCTTTGCGGAACGGCGGTTTCTCATGCAATGCTACAGCTCGGCCCGCAGGCCAAAGGCTGCTGCTTAGCTTAGACACCCATTAGATATAGAAAACAAAATGAAATCAGACAGTTGCCTGGACAGGCTGGTAGTTTAATCGTCAAATACAATCTTGGTGGCCTTCTTCGTCATGTCAACGTCCTTGAAGAAGGCGCCGTAGGTGTCGTGGGCCTTCTTCTTAACCGTCGTGCCGAACTTGAACAGTTCTTCGGGCACGGGCTGGTTTGCGCCCTTAAGAATGTTGATCAAACTGGGCCATGTGTAAGCAATTGTCTTGAATCTCGTCAAATCTTCGGCAACTTACGATCCAGAGTGCGCCTTGTCCTGCTGCGTGAAGAGCGTGATGGCCTCGCCAGTCTTGCCGGCGCGGCCGGTACGTCCGATTCTGTGGACGTAATCCTCGATTGTCAGAGGGAACTAGAGATGATCAGTCGGCTGTTGCGCATCGGAGGCACGAATCGAGACTTACGGTAACGTTGATGACGAGCTTCACCTCGGGAATATCCAAACCACGGGCGGCAACGTCAGTGGCAACCAAGACGGGTGTCGTGCCCGCCTTGAAAGCCTCCAGACTGCGGGTACGCTGCTCCTGGCGCAGATCGCCGTGGATGCCACCGACGCGGATGCCACGCTGCTGCAGGAAAGTCTCGACGCGCGTCGCCTCCTTCTTGTAAAGGCAGAAGACGAGAATGCGGTCGTTCTTCTTGCTGCCCTGCTGGT